ACACAGTATGGCACCAAACATCAGCATCAGCAACAGCTCCACTTCCCAGCTCGAACACTGCTGGTGTTTGAGATGCGTCTCCGGGGAAGCCCGCGGGTCCGGTGGCCAGCCGCAGGGACAGCGCTCTGGGCTGAGGCCTCAAGCCCTGGCCCACTCTCCGCGGCTGCACACCAGCACTTCCTAATGTCGGAATCCAGCCTGGATCCCAGCGCCTGCCGGGAGACTGGAGGAGAGCGTCTGCGCATGAACCCGCAGCAGCAGCCTGGAGATGGACCCCCTCCTCCTGTCCCACTGAGGGCCCAGACAGCACACTGGGCAGAGCACACTCCAGCAGCGAGAGCCGGAGACAGACAGGGACAGGGACAGGGAGAGAGGGACAGACCGGGACGGTGCTCGGGCAGGCGGGAGGGCTCCGGCGGTGGCGCTGGGACGCTGGGAAGTCTGGCTGCTGCTGCTGCAGCGCGGCGCCGCGGGGGGCGGGACTGACCTGGGCTGGAGACGCAGCCGCGACTCACCATCAGGACCTCCTGGTTGTCGGCCAGCGCCTGCTTGGCCAGGTAGCGCTCCCTCCTCACCTGCAGCTCCAGGGACTCGGGCACGTCGGGCACCACCCCGTCGATGACGCGCAGGACGAAGAAGACCACGTGCTGCAGAGAGGGGAGGGGAGGTATGAAGGCACAGGAGGGACTGGAGGGATTCTGCTGGACTCTTCAAGTTCTCTCACGCCCAGAGACGGCCCACCCTGCCCCCACCTCGAAGACGATGATGAATCCCAGCCTGACAGCCAGCAGCTCCCAGTAGAACAGAGTGTAGCTCCCGTCGCTGTCCCGGAAAGCCTTGTACCTGGGGACCGGAGGAGACAAGCGGAGAGTGACACTCTGGGCGCAGACTCAGCCATGTATTCAGCTATACAGCAGCTATGCAGAAGTGTAAGTGCGCCCCCTGCTGGAAGGATGTTAACTAGTTTTTACTTGTAACTGGGGGATTGTCGCACTGGGATCACTTCTTTGAAAACACAACCGTGCAGTGGTTTACAGTTCCCGGTCACGAGGCGGCCTGGAGGAGAGGCGTCGCACCTGCAGCCGGTGTGGTTGGCGTGCGTGTAGCTGGCTGGCGCCTCGGCCAGGGTGAAGTTGACGTAGCCGTGCAGGTCGCGGTCGAACCTGTACTGGTACAGCAGCCGGGGCAGGAAGTCGGAGGTGAAGGCGATCAGGAAGGCCTGTGGGCACAGAGGACCACACTGCCGGAGCTCGAGGACACAACGGGTCAAACTCACGTCTCTCTCTTTTTAAAAAAAGGTCATTTTGCATGACCTCCACACACCACATGCAATTCCCCCACGGAAAAATAAGACCCCAAGAAACCAGACCCCTCAACATTCTCTTTACTCCACATCCAGCCCCCAGAAGCCAGGACCCGGGCCCCTGCGCAGTCCTGGAATCGGGGTCCGGGCAGCTGAGCACCTGAGCTCTGCAACATGGGTTCTGGCTTCTGCGCTTGGTTTTCTGGTCTGCCTGGTCTCGACAACAGCGGATAAGAAACTGTTTGACTGCACCACTCCTGCTGCTGGGACTGGAGCACTGACCCGCTCCGGCCCACTCCGGCCCACTCTGACCTGCTCCGGCTCTCTCTGGCCCACTCTGGCCCGGCCCACTCCGACCCGCTCCGGCCCGCTCTGACCTGCTCCGGCCCACTCCGGCTCTCTCCGGCCCGCTCCGGCCCGCGCTGCACTCACGTTGACGATGACGGAGAGCTGGGACAGCGCCTCCAGGATGTGGAACCAGACGCCGATGCTCTGGGCGCGCTCCGCCACGGGCCGGCGGTACTCGCACACGAACTTCTGCGCGTCCAGCCGGATCTCCACCCAGTTGTTGAGCAGCGCGAAGAGCGGCGCCAGGGGGAAGGCGGCCACGAAGATGGTAATGAAGCCGAACTGCAGGACTGCGGAGACGGCAATATGGCGCCTTTACCCAAGTCCCTCCCTTGCTCCCTCCACCAGTATTATTACACAGCGCCTTTCCAGAGTAAGACTGCCCTGCTCCCCAACTCTCCCTCCCGCACCCATTCACTCACCCTCAGTCAACCCTGGTTTTATATAGCGCCTTTCCACAAAGAGCTTCGCACAGACACTCCACCCACACCCACTCTGTAATCATGCCGCAGCTCGCTCTGAAGAAGTGCCAGGTCTTCTCCTGCACAGGGGAAGAGAGCCGGGGATCTCTCCCGTCTGCCTGGCACAGACCCCGGAGCTGCCAGCTCTCCGCGCCCCTCTGTGCTGCTCTCCCAGAGGGCTGGGACTGGTAGAGTACTAGTACTCCTAAGTGTGTCTGCTTGACTGAGCTTAATTAGACCCACATCAGAGAATTCTAAGGCCTTCAGCTCCTGGTGAAGCGCAGAGCCCTGTAGCACCTGCAGGACTCCGGCCCAGGAGCTGTGGAGTTGTGATCGATTCCAGGCCTGCGCCACCTGTGCCAATGGCACGCACTGAGCACTAGCTCGTGGGGCGCACGTGGGGCGCACGTGGGGCTCACCCATCTCCAAGTACTCCTCAAACAGCCCCTCGCACTGCAGCAGCTCGTAGTCCTCTTCCCAGCGCTTGGGCTCCTGGGGGATCTGGGTCCCCCGGAGTGCCGCCAGCTCCCTCTTCTGCAGCCAGGACTTCACCTTCCTGGTGGGGAGAGAGGGGGGTCAGGCCCGGGACAGCGCTCCCGTCCGGACTGAACACGCACCGTACCCCTTTCAGGAGGGACACCAGGGGGCGCCTCACCCTAGATCTGACTGAGCACTGGGGGGGCTGAGGAGCTGCCTGAGGGACCCCAGACACGCAGGCCGACGCTCGGCACCAGGGAAACGAACTTCACAAGCGGCTTCCTCTCTTCCTCTCAAAGCCCAGCTGCTCCGTGCCCTTTCCGCAAATGTCCGCTTGAATATGAGAGATATCCCCCCAGGCTCACCGCACACTGCTGCACGGCCGCCGGCGGGCTGCGGCGAGTCTTTATCCAAGTGAGGGATGAAGCCGGGCTCACCGGCTCCGAGATAAATGATGAGACACATGCAGGGAGGGCGGGGGCTCTCAGCTGGAAGGGAAGGGAAGCTCCCACCGGCATGCTCGGACTTACGGGATGAGGAACTCCTGGATGTTGCTGATGATCTGCTTCCCCACCATGATGATGAAGAGCTGCTCGGCCAGCTCGATGAGGCAGCCGCCCGGCCCGCACTGCCCTCGCACACACAGACAGAGGGGTTAGCAGCCCTGCGGACAGCCCCGGCACCCCAGGACAACCAGACCCCGGCGGAGGAGCAGCGGAACACTCACGTCCTCGTTCCTCATCCCGAACAGCGTGCCGTAGTGCCCAGGGTACCCCACAAACCTGCAGGCAGGGAGCAAGAGCGTGTTTCAGCGCGCCATCGTCATCGTCCCCCTCTCCCGTCGCCGAGCGGAGCCACTGGTCCCGCACCTGCCCTTGAAGAAGGCCACGTAGAACGGGGAGGAGTAGAAGTTGACGAACTGGAACACGAAGACCTTGAAGGTGAAGGCGTCCTCGTGCTGCGTCTGCGTGCGGTGCATCTCTGCGGGGCAGACACAGGCGCTCACTCACACACCGCGCGGCGCAGCGCGGCGCGGCCCGCGGGCCCAGACTCGGGGCGGGAACGGCGCGGGGCGCGGACGGAGCCCTACCCCACTTGGTCAGCTGCTGCGCCAGCGCGGTGTAGAGCTGCCCCATCAGCAGGATCAGAGCCAGGTTCACCATGCTGCCGGAGATGTTGGCGATGTTGCCGGCCTGGCCGCGGAGACAGACAGGGTGAGCAAACAGGAGGGCTGAAAACACGCCGTGTCTCCCTCTCTCTCCACAGCCTGGCGTCACCTCTGAGCAAGGCGGCAGTACCTGGGTCCGCAGCACGGCGCTCTCGGTGTGGTACATCATCATGCTGACGATGCCGCGGTACATGATCACCGTCACCAGGAAGATCATCACCACACACAGCTGGAAGGCACGGACACCAGTGAGGCGGGGCGACGCCCTCTCGCCCCACCCTGACCACGACGACGGGCCACCCGCGCCCCGGGGCCCCCTCTCACCATGATGATGATGACCATGGATCCCGTCAGGATCCGGGAGATCCGGTCTTTCTCCGGGAAGTAGGGCTCCTTCATTCCGGTCACCGGGTTCTGCTCCATCTTGGGCGCCGTGGCAGCGAACTCGGGGCGCGGGCGTTCCTGGAGAAACAGACACACTCTCAGGGCCCGAGGCAGGGGGCACCCAGCTCAAGCCCGAGCAGGCGCTGCTACACGGCGGCCTGACCTCCACCTCGCGGAAGTCCGTGCAGTCCCAGTGGTGCGCCAGGGTGGCGCTCTTGCGCTTCCAGTACTCCAGGAAGGTCACCGCCCACAGTGACATGAAGACGCTGAAGACCACCGTTCCAGGGTGGTCGAACAGGTACCCCAGCTGCAGAGCAGGAAGAAGAATGAGAGGGAGGAGGAGGGAGAATGAGGCACAGAGGCACACTGATGCCCCTCTTCCAGAAATCAGCCGGAATAATAACGGACCAAGCATCCCACAATGCCCGGCTTACCTTGGCCATGGAGCAGATGTCGGAGATGTTCCAGGTGCTGCAGGTGTCACAGAGGGGGCACATGAGATAGCGCCCTCGGCTGGAGCAGATCTCCTCCCTTCCCGGGACGAAGGAGGGCAGGGGCATGTGGAGACAGAGACGCACAGAGGTGTGTGCAGGCAGTGAGTCGCTGGAGACGAAGCTCCATTTCACCAGCGCGCACATTCAGGACAGAAATAATTATGCGATCTTCCCCACACCATGTTTCTTCACCACAGTACTAGACTGCAACTGGCAATAAAATAAAATAACATTCACAGCGCTTTCTTTTGGTTGGAAAGTCTTCCAATTCAGATTTGTTAGGATGTTTAATACTTCTGATAAATGTACTGCCGTAAGGGCAGCACTGTCGCAGGAGCTACAATTGTTTCCCCACTTAACTGCGCCCAGGAAGTGAAATAAACAAAGTTCCACAAAGACAGAAAGCTGATCAATGCTACTTCATCAATGCTATTGATTATTTATTGACGTGTTAATACAGATATCAGTCCGTTATTTCCTGCAGGAAGGTCTTTGATGAAAGCCATTGCCCGCACCCCCAGAGCTGCAGTCTGTTTCTTCGTTACTCTCGTCCCTGCAGCCGGGGGAGGATGAAGGACAGGCCGGCACAGCCTAGCTCTCTCCCCACGCTCTCGCTGTCTCCGCATCCTCCCCCCACTATCCACTGCAGCGCTCGGGGGACGCCTGCTCAGGTTGCCGTGGAAACGCAGGACCGGGCGGAAGGCGGACGCGGGAGACTGGCGCAGCCACGGAGAGGCTCTGCTCCCGAGTCCCCCTAGCGGAGGATCGGAGCGCCCCGTCCCGGATCGCGGCTCACCGCGGCTCCGGCGTGGGAAGCACAGGCTCCAGGGATCGCACTTACGCTGGGGTGTTGGTTCCCATGGTGACGATCCCCGAGATGAAGACCAGCGTGCCGGCCGCAGCGGCGGGGAGCAGCCAGGCCGTGTAGAACCCTGCAGCAGGAGGGAACAGCGCGTGAGCA